CCATTCCCATTCTATTCTTCTATTCTATTCTATTCTATTCTATTCTATTCTATTCTATTCTATTCCATTCCATTCTATTTTCTCTTCTCTTCTCTTCTCTTCTCTTCTCTTCTCTTCTCTTCTCTTCTCTTCTCTTCTTTTCTCTTCTCTTCTCTTCTCTTCTCTTCTCTTCTCTTCCCTTCCCTTCCCTTCCCTTCCCTTCCCTTCCCTTCCCTTCCCTTCCCTTCCCTTCCATTCCATTCCATTCCATTCTGATTTCTATTCTATTCTATTCTATTCTATTCTATTCTATTCTATTCTATTCTATTCTATTCTATTCTATTCTATTCCATTCCATTCCATTCCATTCCATTCTGATTTCTATTCTATTCTATTCTATTCTATTCTATTCTATTCTATTCTATTCTATTCTATTATTTCCATTCCCATTCCCATTCCTATTCCTATTCCTATTCCTATTCTTTCTTCTGCCATGAGAGTTTCTTGGATTGCTGGATTGTCCACAGAACATGAAAGATTTATTTTATGGCTTTCCATGTCAGCGAAAAACAGCCAAATTTTGATTCCTCCCCCCCCCGCCCGCAATCCCCATCCTTTTTCAGGAACAGGGTTCCCTACAGATCAGTCCTGAACTTCGGGGTAATATGCAAAAATTGAAAGTTCTCCTCCTTTGAAGTCACCCTCAACATTTCCCACAAGTCCCTGCTGTGTCCTTCTGGGCATTCTGGGTAACTAAGATGGCGGGAGGCGAGCCGGAACCAGTCAGCTTGAGATCATTCCAACCTATTCTGCTCTTGAATTTCTACTTAACCGTCACTGGAAGAGAAAAGCATTGCATAGATTTTGGTTTTTCCCCCCAATGGATATCCAAACAACTCTCTTGGTCCCACCCTTTTGTAATTATCTCATTAGAACAAGTCCTTAATTTTATTGACATTTCTCTCCTCCCCCCTCCTCATTTTGGTTTTGTTCAGTCTCTGAGGAAAGGAGCCCCTGGCTATAATTTTAGATGCCTGCCACTCTCTGCCTGCCCTCTGCGTCTGATCTTCTATCCAAAAACATAATTCAAGGCAGAATGGAAAGCAGTTCATTTCCCTCTTTCCCTCCACCCTCTTTCTCTCTCTTCTCTCCCCTCTCTTCTCTCTCTCTCTTCCCTCTTCCCTTTCTCCTCTCTTTCTCCTCTCTCTCCTCTCTCTCTTTCTTCTCTCTCCTCTCTCTTCTCTTCTCTCTCTCCTCTCTCTCCTCTCCTCTCTTTCTTCCCTCTTCCCTTTCTCCTCTCTCCTCTCTCTCCTCTCTTCCTCTTCCCTCTTCTCTCTCTCCTTTCTTTCTCCTCTCTCCTCTCTCTCCTCTCTTCCCTCCTCTCTCTCTCCTCTCTCTCTCTCCTCTCTCTTCTCCTCTCTCTCTTCTCTTTCCCCCTCTCCCTCCTCTCTCCTCTCTCTCTCTTTCTTCTCTCTCTCCCTCTCTTCTCTCTCTTCTCTCCTCTCTCTCTTCCTTCTCCCTCTCCCACTTCTCATTTCCTTTCTCCGCTGTCACAATTGATCTCACATTGTGCTGTTTCAGAGCCCTTTCGAAGGCAAGGGAATGACTCAGATGCTGGTTCTGATTCAGAAGCCCCAGTGTGATTTATGAGGGTCTCAAATTTAGCAATTATAGTGTCGGGATGGAAAAGAACTCCATGTCAACTTCTGGGGGGCGGTGTGTGTGTGTGTGGGGGGGGGCAAACACCCAAACCCCAAACTAAAAACAGACGTTTTAAAACGATTCTTCTCTCTCCCGTGACAAAGATAGAACTCGCTTCTCGTTGGGTCTGCATCCTATTTCTTGCATGTTTCCACCAGGGAGGGATGTTTGTTCGTTCAGTCCTTTGCAAGTTGTCGTTCGTAATGAGCCCCTGATTTTCCTTTTTTGGTGCAATGATTTTAATCCCCCCCCTCCCCGATTAATGCTCACCACATGTGGAAGATTGTGCATCCTTCAACACGGGATCTTTGCTTTACACGGTGTGGCCTTGGCGCAATTCAATCCATTTGCTTGGAAAATGTCGCCCAGTTCTTGCCGGATCAGGTTCCCTTGCTGGATAGAAACCTGGGTTCCTCCGCTGGCAGCATACGAAATCTGTCAAAAGTGACAGAAATCAGATAAGCAGAAGACACTCCTGGAATCTGGAGAGCTTCTTCTTGTTACTTTGTGCCTTTGGGAGCATGGAGAAGACAGTGTGAAAACGCCATTTGGTGTGACTTGTTTCTTCTAGAATAGGGTTCTGCAACCTTAAACACTCCAAGAGCCATTTGGACCCGTTTCCCACAGAAAAGAAAACACCGGGAGCCACAAAACCCTTCCAGTGACTGACTATTTCTTGAGCGGCCACAAAACTAGCATCTGTAGTTGAATTAAATGTTCTGTTTTCTTCTGAAACTTTTCCTTTCTTGGATTTATCCATGGTTGGCCTCCCGGGCGTTGAAAAGCTCAATAAATCACATGCCGGCGAGTGTCACATATTGGCAGTTGTGACACATATTTTGAGTGACAGGAAGCCACAGCAGAGGAGCGAAAGAGCCGCATGCGACTCCAGAGCCGCAGGTTGCTGACCAAGAGTTGAAGTCCACCTACAAGGCATCTATTTCCACTTCTGGATGGGTTGATTCCTGATTGATCGATCCACACGCCATCAAATGAGGGCCATCTCTCGGTGACCACAGTGATAGAACTTCTCCTGGTGGATTTGTCCCCAACCTGGTCCTTCTGGTCATCTAATGGTGACCCTTTCTTGCTGTAATAAAAACCACCACCACCCCTTGCTCCAGGCCATCTCTTCTTCTATATCTTCAACTTTTCCCTGAATTAAGAGATCTTTTGCTTATCATTTTACTTATTTGACATTTCTGCAGTTGAGTTCTTGAGTGAATGGAAGAACTACTGTATATCAAGGAGGAAATCAAAAAGAAATGACAAGACGAGAGGCAGTAGGCTTCTGTCCATCAAAATGAAGCTGCGAGTCAGGGTTATGCTTGTTTTAGCAGACTGGTTTTCTTCTCCCATGTCCTAAACCATGTCACTCTCCCACCCTTCAGCAAATTGGGTCACACATTGATGTTCAGATCATGGTTTGACTCCAAACTTGAAGCTGGTCTATGAAACTTGGTTCTGTTTCCTCCTTCGCTCCTGACCAATCTGTGCATTAATAGTTTGCCAGGTTCTAAAAGCTTGCTGAGATGCCTTCTCCATTGTGGGAAGAAGATCCTGCCTCAGAAACGTTCCATGGGAGAAGTTCAGAAGTTCTTCAAACGATAAGAACTGATATGTCCACATTTCCTTTTCTTTGGGCAGCGTCATGGCTAAACACTCAGACTTCTGGGTGTCTGGATTCAAAGCCCTTCTTGACCAGGATGATGGACTGTTTCTCTCACACACCTCACATAGACAAGAAGGGAACCTTCAGCTTCCAACATGAAAGCGCAGGATAGAAGTGGGATACTAAACAAATACATAGAAGGAAAAATGGGGACTGCAGGTGCCTTTGAAACGGGGTCCCCAAATTCAGTGACAGAGATTGCCAATATAAAATAGATGGGTTAAAATATGGGAAAAGAGGTGTTGTGTCCTGCCAGCGGCCAGTGGAGCTGGAGGCAGACTCAGACAGTGAGGAGGTTGGGGAGGAACATGGGCCAGTCCTAGAATCTGGGGAAGGCTCTACGTCAGAGGCAGAGATGGGGCCAGGCTGTCTGACAGTTATCAGCTACCTTCGGAGTCGGAGATAAGTGGGACAGAAGGACAGCTGGAGCCTGTTCCCAATGTGCACATGCACAGAACTGTCAGGAGAAGGAAACAATTAAGGAACAGGGGTCAACTCGGGAGTAAAGGCACAAGTGGACACTGAATGGCCCCTCCCATAGGGAACAAATAGGAGCAAAAGGGGAGTGGTGTTTGCAGGAGACAATTCGTTCGTTTATTAGCGGGAGGATTTGCTTATCTGAGTTGGTGCCTCACAGAGACTCCTTGCCAAGTATTTCCTTGTACAGAGTTGCACTTGGAAGCTATCGGCCTGGCAACTATCCAAGGCCTGATAAGGTCTGTGGTTGCAATTCACCCTTGAAAGACTGTTTGCCGGGACTTTGCTGGAGGTGAATGCTAGGAATTCACATTAGCCAAATAAAAACAGGTTTTGTCGGGATAAGGAGTCTGTTTCGTGATTTTGTGAAGCCTAGGTCAGAACAAGAGGTGAAACCCTCCCTTCTTCCCACGAGTGATGCTGAAGAGTGATTGCACCGCAGCCAAATGAAAGTATACATTAACATGGCTTATTAACAGCCTGGATTAGATTTCTAGCATCAGAGAGGTACCTATAGTTAAACCCAGTGGTGGGATTCAGCTAGTTCGCACCAGTTCAGTAGAACCGGTAGCTAAACTTTTCTGGAGTTCGGTAAACTGGCTGAAGTGAGGGGCAGGAAGCCCTGCCATGCCCGGCAAGGAGGGGAGAAGAGACGGCAAGGGGAGCTCTGTCTCCCTCCACGTGCCCCAATGAAAGGCAGCGGTAGCCTGGGTGCTTCCCTTCCACCCCCTGTCTGGTGCTGTAAGTAATTTAACAACCAGTTCACCCAGGGTCAGGTTGGCTGTTGCGGGAGGCTTGTCCCAAATGTGTGGCGGAGCTGGAGGGCCACGCCTCCCACAACAGCCAATCTGACCTCGGGCGAACCTGTTGTTAAATTACTTGAATCCCACCACTGGTTAAACCCCTTTGATCTTCTTTCTTTTTTTTAACCATGTTTCCCCGAAAATAAGACCTTGTCTTATATTTTTTTGAACCCTGAAATAAGCACTTGGCCTTATTGCCATGCGCTCAAAAGTCCGATTGGGCTTATTATCAGGGGATGTCTTATTTTCGGGGAAACAAGGTAGATAGATAGATAGATAGATAGATAGATAGATAGATAGATAGATAGCATGTAAAGGGTGTGCTTATATTTGTGACCTGGGTGTGTTTTTTTTTCCACCTCTCCAAGGGTGCTCGAGGTCCTGATGGAACACCAGGTGAAGTGGGGCCCCAAGGACCGAAGGTGAGTCATTTTCCCCTTCCTCCAATCAAAAATGCAGAGTCATTCTTGGACACGTGCCACGGTTGGCCTCTTGCACTGCTGGAAGGCATAGACTGGACCTTTGCCATGGTTCTGTGCCAGGCTACAGAAATCACGCACAGGAAGTGTCAACATTGAATGTCTTTGCTACTCCTGTTGTTCCGTGTCCGATGATTTGATTCTATTACTAAGTACAGTTGCAAGAACAGTTGGCTAGTCTAGCAGTCTTCCAATATTTGAGGGGCTGTCACAGAAAGGAGGGGGTCAGGCTATTTTCCATAGACCAGAAGGCCAGACAAGGAACAATGGATGGAAACCAATCAAAGAGAGAAGCAACCTAGAAATAAGGAGAACTTTTCAGACAGTGAGAACAATCAACCAAGAGAAGAGCTTGCCTTCAGAAGTTGTGGGAGCTCCCTCACTGGAGGCACATGCATACATGACTCCCCCCCGCAGTCCCCCCACTTTTGGCACGCGACGGCAAAAAGGTTAGCCATCACTGCCTTATACTATCTTGGTTAAATAGTTGTACAGTCTATTTTCGAAAGCCTCCAATGATAGATCTCAGAATCAATGTGCTACAAAGCTCCACGAGACAGGAATAACATTCCCGATACTTCTACAGAGCATAGAGAGTTAGGAAGTCTTTCTTCCTTGCCAAACACATAGGCTGAGATTTAGTATTTCCTTCCACACAGACTGAGCACAGACTAACCCATGTTCTCAAAATAGCTTCCCACTTCTCTACATGGTCCGTTAGGGAGAAAACTGGCCCAAAACTCATCTCCACGATGTTCTAGTTTGTTGCATGCAAGATTTTTTAAAAAAATTTGCAAGAAGGCAAGGCAAGAAAGAGAGCTATGGATACTAAATTTATACTTTAGATTTTGGTCAACTGGGAGAATTCCACAACGTGTCCTTTTTTCCCATCGCCTTAAATAGAGTGGATTTTCTCTCTGCTCTTTAGGAGAATGGCCAGATGGGAAAAGGGAAGAAAATAGAGTAATATAGAATAGGATTCTTTATTGGCCAAGTGTGATTGGACACACAAGGAATTTGACTTTGGTGCATATGCTCTCAGTATACATAAAAAGTCAAGATAATTTGTCAAGAATAATAAAGTACAACACTTAACGATAGTCATAGGGTTCAAATAAGCAATCAAATCATACTAGGAAACAATCAATATAAATCGTAAGAATAGAATAGAATAGAATAGAATAATGAATGGAATAGAATAGAATAGAATAGAATAGAATAGAATAGAATAGAATAGAATAGAATAGAATAGAATAGAAATCAGAATGGAAATCAGAATGGAATGGAATGGAATGGAATGGAATAATGAGTGGAGTGGAGTGAAGTGGAGTGGAGGGAGTGGAGTAGAGTAGAGTAGAGTAGAGTAGAGTAGAGTAGAGTAGAGTAGACAGCAACAAGTTACAGTCATACAGTCATAAGTGAGAAGAGATGGGTGATAGGAACGATGAGAAGATTAATAGTAGCGCAGCCTTTTAGCTGTTTAGCAGAGTGATGGCGTTCAGGAAAAAAACTGTCCTTGTGTCTAGTTGTTCTGGTGTGCAGTGCCCTATAGTGTCATTTTGAGGGTAGGAGTTGGAACAGTTTATGTCCAGGATGCGAGGGGTCTGTAGATATTTTCCCAGCCCTCTTTTTGACTCGTGCAGGATACAGGTCCTCCATGGAAGGCAGGTTGGTAGCAACTGTTTTTTCTGCAGTTCTAATTATCCTCTGAAGTCTGTGTCTGTCTTGTTGAACCAAGCCAGACAGTTATAGAGGTGCACAGACTCAATCATTCCTCAAAAATGAACCTTTCTTGCATTTTTTTTTTAAAAAAACCCACTCCCTTTTGTTATGATCTTATTAACAGGGCCTCCCAGGTCATCCAGGTAAACCAGGATTGGATGGTCAAGAGGTACGTTCAGTATTTTTGAAGGGATCTAAAAGTGTTTGAGATGTTTATGGTATCTTGGCAAGACTCGGCTCTGATCTTCCACCTGAATTCAAGTCTTTGTGTTTGTAGGGAAAGATTGGCGAAATGGGAGAGATCGGATCTCGTGGCTTCCCTGTAAGTCCATCCTTCGTCTTGCCTCATAACAAGAAGACTTAATAGGTTATCAGAGACAGTAATGGAGAGAATCTGTATGAATTTCCCCCATTTATGGACTTTGATCCAGGCTAGTAAAGTTGGATTAGGGAAGGTTTTTTCCCCTTCTTTTAATTTTTCTCTCCTCCTCCTCCTCCTCCTCCTCCTCCTCCTCCTCCTCCTCCTCCTTTCCTCCTCCTCCTCCTCCTCCTCCTCCTCCTTTCTCTTCTCTTCTTCCTCCTCCTCCTCCTCCTTCTTCTTCTTCCTCCTCCTCCTCTTAAATTTTCTCCCCTCCTCCTCCTCTTCCTCTTCTTCTTCTTCCTCCTCCTCAATTTCCTCTTCCTCCTCCTCCTTCTCTTCTTCTTCTTCCTCCTCCTCCTCTTCAATTTTCTCCTCCTCCTCCTCCTCCTTTTCTTCCTTCCTTCCTTCCTTCCTTCCTTCCTTCCTTCCTTCCTTCCTTCCTTCCTTCCTTCCTTCCTTCTCTCCCTCCCTCCCTCCCTCCCTCCCTCGGGTCTTGATTTCTGATTTGCAACATCACTGAGGAGCTTCTTCCACTTCTGTATCACTTTGGATTTTTTAAATTTTTATTTTATATTTGAAAGTTCTCATTAAGTTCGGTGCCCTTTCCCCACATCAGTTTTGCTTGATGCGCAAAAAAGATTTCGAAAGCAAATTTCCCTGATGATATAATTAACTTTCATGCATTATTTGTAATTAATAGTGGTGGCTTGAAAAATCATTCATCATCATCATCATCATCATCATCATCATCATTTTTAAAAAATCTTTTTATTTTTTTTTATTTTAATTTTGATTTATATGCCGCCCTTCTCCGGAGACTCAGGGCGGCTTACAATGCGCTCAGCAATAGCCTTCATCCTTTTTGTATATTTATACAAAGTCAGTTTATTGCCCCCACGAACTGGGTCCTCAATTTACCTACCTTAGAAAGGATGGAAGGCTGAGTCAACCTTGAGCCTTGAGAGATTCGAACCTGCAGTAATTGCAGGCATCTGGTCTTAATAACCAGCTTAATAACAGGGTGCCTTAGACCACTGTACTACCAAGGCTCTACCAAAAAATCTGCCTTCTGTTCACTTATAAAGCTGAATTACTTCATTTGGAGGAGGTGGAAAAATTGAAAGGCAATTAAATTTATGAGTGAAGTTGTATCTCGTTTAGAGCTTGGTCTCTTCCATTGGCTTGTTTCATTGCAGGGCATCCAAGGATCTTCTGGACCCCAAGGAGCAAAAGGACCTCCTGGAGACTTGGCAAGTACCACAAATGGACCTCTACTTTTTCTCTCCACTCCTGTCCACTCTTCAACCCCACTCTTGATTATTCCTATCTGAGCAGCCATGTAGAAGAACGTGAGAAGTCTTCTTCAAAGGAGCCCCAGCATTGTTGCATCTCTTTCTGCTTGGTCCATTCCCTTAACATTTTGACCAAAATTTATTTATTTATTTGTTTTATTCGGCTTATATGCCGCCCTATCTTCCAATGGACTCAGGGCGGCTCACAATAATAAAAACACAAGCCACAATACAAATAAAATCTAAAAAATTTAAAATTTAACCCTTAAAATGAGGTCTTCTCTGAAGACGCCAGAAGATTCCCTTAACATTTTGACTAAAATGAGGTCTTCTCTGAAGGTCTTCTCTGAAGACACCAGAAGATTCCCTTAACATTTTGGCCAAAATGAGGTCTTCTCTGAAGACGCCAGAAGATTCCCTTAACATTTTGACTAAAATGAGGTCTTCTCTGAAGGTCTTCTCTGAAGACACCAGAATCCCTTAACATTTTGGCCAAAATGAGGTCTTCTCTGAAGATGAGAAGAGGTCTTCTATGAAGAAGATGCATTTCTTTCTGCTTGGTCCATTCCCTTAACATTTTGGCCCAAACGAGGTTTTCTCTTGAACCCAGCACCTATATTTGATTTAATTTGATGAAAAGCAATGAAGGAAATGCAGTTCTTGCGATTTGATTGAAAACTTTGGAGGGACCGTCAGAAATGTTTCTGTATATGTTGAATCTCCAACTCGCAATTTGTGTCTGTCAGTCAACCAGCTCATCCATCATGTACATTTAAGATCCTGGTCCAGTTCAGCAGAAGGCTTTGTATGTTCTTAACTTTGTGCGCCTGTCTTTTCAGGGACCCCAAGGCCCACCAGGTCCACCAGGAATTATGGGAGAAATTGGACATAAGGTAGGATATGACTTCCACCTCCCTCTCATTTTTCTACAATTTTCCGGAATCCACCCAGCTTTTGGGAATCCCCCCCAAAACTGAATTCTGAGATGCACCCTATATTAGAAAGTCAGGGAGGACAGATGATGGTTGATATCAGGGGTGGGCTTCACCTGGTTGCTGGGTGGTGTGGCCATGGTGGGTGTGGCCTAGTCCCTCCTGTACAATGAGGGGGGGTATTTTTGCCCTCCCCAGGCTCCGGAGGCTTTCCTGGAGCCTCCAGAAGGGCAAAAACAGCCTCCCCAGACTCCGGAGGCCCTCTGGAGGCCAGAAACGGGCCCGTTTCTGGCCTTCCCAAACTTTTGATAGACCCGTTTTTCACCCTCCCTGAGCCTCTATGTGTATCCTGCACTTACCTACATCCAAAACTGGGTGGGGCAGGGTGGGAGGGGCCAGCCAGGAGTGGGATTTGGGGGTTCTCCAAACTGCACAGAATCTTAGCTAGAGGTTCTCCCGAACCCCTATGAACCCCCAGCAGCCTATCCCTGGTTGATATCAAGAGCAGAAGACTTGAAAGCTTTGTTATTCTGGAAATGAACGATTTGCCATTCAGCTCTTTTTCTCTGGGTGAAAAAAGAAGCAATCTCATTGCTTCTCTCCCGCATGTTCTGGGTTGGGTCTTCTCTATTTATTTATTTTTCTTCCTTCCTCTTCCTCTTCCAGGGACCTCCTGGTGCAGCAGGACAGCGAGGGCTTCCGGGAGAACCTGGCATGAAGGTAAGGGAGAGTGAAGATCTTCCTTTCTCTTTAGGTGACCAAGGACTCTTGCCTCTGTTATGCCAGCTGACGCTGGGTGTGTTGTGGTTGATGACCAGGAGTGGGCAAATGTAGCTCTTTTACAACCTGTGGACTTCAACTCCCAGAATTCCTGAGCCAGCTTGGCTGTCTCAGACAGCTTGGGTGTCTCAGGAATTCTGGGAGTTGAAGTCCACAGGTTGTAAAAGAGCTACATTTGCCCACCCCTGACCAAAGTCATGGCAGTATGAAGGCAAAAGAAGGAGTTCCAGCTCATTTCTGAGCCAAGATCTGATCCAAGAATTTGATTGTTTTTTGATATATATAAATCATGGATGGAAAGGAAGGAAGGGAGGGAGAGAGGGAAGGAGGGAGGGAGGAAGGAAGAAAAGGAGGGAAGGAGGGAGGAAGGAAGGAAAGGAGGAAGGAAGGAAGGAAGAGAGAGAAGGAAGGAGGGAGGGAGGAAGGAAAGGAGAAGGAGGAAATAGAGAGGGAAGGAGGGAGGAAGGAAGGAAAGGAGGAAGGAGGGAGGGAAGGAGGGAAGGAAGGGAGGAGGGGAGGAAGAAGGGAGGGAGGGTGGGAATGAAGGAAGGAAAAGAAAGGGAGTGAGGGACCGAGGAAAGAAGGATGGATGGATGGATGGATGGATGGATGGATGGATGGATGGATGGGAGGTAAGGGAGGAAAGAGATTACACCTTGCAGTTCAAGGTTATGCGATTCCATTCCAAGCAATTCCATCCTGCTTCCTTCCAGCTTCTTGTGCTTTTCTCCTCCAGCTGGTCTGTTTGCTTTGGAAAGCTTCCCAAGACATTGCTGGAGCTACTGTGTCTTCAGACCTTCAGACCTTCTCTCCATCTCTCCTTTTCATCTCTGTTGGTCCTGCATGATGTTTATCCACCTCCTCCTTTTACCATCTCAGGAATTTTTTAAAAAAACCCTTTATTTGCCTGGCTTTCCACCTCCTCCAACAGACGGACTCCTGGAGAGCAAGCTCATGTTTCAAACAGGAAGCGCATTTTTCATCTGTAGGAGAGGTCTTCAGTCTTTCTTCTAAAAAGACTGGTGTATGCTCACGGTTAGCAGCTCACAAGCTGCTCCTTCAAGGAACTGCATTTCAGAGTTCTGTCTTCTTAAAAGATAGCATTAAAGCAAACAATCCAATTTTACCACTTCCATGATGTTCAAAACTCATGTTTTAGTCAGATGTCCCAAAGATGCTTTTTTTTCCAAGAGGCAACTGGACTTTCTGGTTTTTCTTTGAAGACTTTGCGCTTCTCATCTAAGGAGCTTTGTTTATGTCCATCTGTTCTGTCACTTTTCTCCTGAGCCCAGATTAACAAGAGTTGGAAGGGACCTTGTAGGTCATCTAGTCCAACCCCCCAACCCAAGCAGGAGACCCTACACCACTTCTGACCGATGGCAGTCCAATCTCTTCTTGAAAACTCCCAGGGATGAAGCTCCCACAACTTCTGAAGGCAACTTCTGTTCCATTGGTTGATTGTTCCCACAGTCAGAAAATTCATCCTTATTTCCAGGTTGAATCTCTCCTTGGTCAGTTTCCATACATTATTCCTTATCTGGCCTTCAGGTGCTTTGGAAAATAGCTTGGCCCCCTCCTCTCTCTGGCAGCCATTCAAATATTGGAAGATGCTATCCTGTCTCCCCTGGTCCTTCTCTTCACCAGACCAGCCATGCCCAGTTCCTGCAACCGTTCATCGTATGTTTTAGCCTCCAGTCCCCTCATCATCCTGGTTGCTCTTCTCTGCACTCTTTCTACAATCTCAATACCCTTTACAGATTAACAGAGTTGGAAGGGACCTTGTAGGTCATCTAGTCCAACCCCCTGCTCAAGTAGAAAGCCCTATACCATTTCTGACATATGGCAATCCAGTCTCTTCTTGAAAGCTTCCAAGGATGAAGCTCCCACAACTTCTGTTCCATTGGTTGATTGTTCTCATGGTCAGAAACTTCATCCTTATTTCCAGAATAAGGAAATCTTTCCTTGGTCAGTTTCCATCCATTATTCCTTGTCTGGCCTTCAGGTGCTTTGGAATTCAACTTCTTCTTGAATTGGGAAGCGAAATGTCTTCAGAGAAAAAAAAAAGAAAAACTGCCTCTTGAAAAAGTATGTTTGGGACAGCCGTGATCTGGATGACTGACAATTTCCATAGGCTTTTGGAATTCAGATGGTTCCTTCTACCTTCCCAGAATAGCCGTATGCCCAATGAATTTCCTTCGAACGAGCTTTATGTATTTCTGCATTTAACTTAATGATGATTTTTGTCTCGTTGCAACCTCCAAACCAGTCTTCGGGGCTTATTTGTTGCGATACGAGCGGTTGCGTCTTTGCTTTTACCACATGGCATCATGGGGTTTAAGCTTCTTTCTTAGCGTAACTAGAAGAAGTGGGGAATTTTCAGAATGAAGATCCAGAAAGAAGGATGGTATCGGAGGTGGGTTTCAGCAGGTTCTGACCAGTTCTGGAGAACCAGTAGCGGAAATTTTGAGTAGTTTGGAGAACCGGTAGTAAAAATCCTAACAGGCCCTGCCCCCATCTATTCTCTGCCTCCCAAGTCCCAGCTGATTGGGAGGAAATGGGGATTTTGCAGTATCCTTCCCCTGCCATGCCCACCAAGCCACGCCCATAGAACTGGTAGTAAAAATTTTTGAAACCCACCGCTGCATGGTATGATTTGATTTGGGTGTAAGTTGGTTTTTTGATGCTTAGCAAACTTTCATTTGCCTTTTTGGACTATCACTTGCATCTGGAACATGTTGGAACATCGTCTTATAGATTCTACCCCTTGTATTATAAGCCCCGCCTCCTATGCCCCAAAACTGACTTTCTGATATCCTTCTTGGCAATTGGTTTTGTTCTGACTTAGGCTTCCTTAGAAAGCATACAACTTAGTCCCAGCAAACCTATTTAATTCAAATGGCTGTGAATTATTGTCATTCCTAGTCTGAAAGGCTTCTCAAACAGTCTATCAGGGGAGTGTTTACAAACACCCACCTTATCTCCCTTGGAACGCTGCCAGAGAACTAATTGCCACATGCAGGGCAAGGCCAAACTTAGCACAGAGTCAAACAGAGCTTTTCCAGAGCTTTTACCGACCAGATGAGCTAATTGCTTCCTGCAAAAGCTCACGTCCCATTCGCTTCTCTTTTATGTCTTATGGGAGGGGCCAATCATCTCAAGCCTTACTCCCAAGTCGACTCTGTTTTCTTAATTGTTCTTATCTTCTGGCAGCTCTGCACATGCGCACACTGGGAACAGGCTCCCGCTGTTCTTCTGCCTCTCTGATGTCAAACTCCTGAGACTCCGGAGGCAGCAAAGAACTACCAGATGGTCTTGGCCCCCTCTCTGCCTCCGACTCAGAGCTCTTGTCTGAGCCTTCCGCAGACTCCAGGACTGGCCCACATTCCTCCCCAACCTCCTCACTGTCCGAATCTGTTGCCAGCTCTGCTGGCCACTGGCGGGCCACAACAAGTCTTCACAAATGTTCCTCCCTCTTCTTAACATGTCTTGAAAGCTAACTTTAAAAAGCTCTTCTTTTCTTTTAGGGCGACTTTGGTCCACTGGGGATTCCTGGAGAGCAAGGATTGGTTGGCCAACGGGTAAGTAGGAAACTATCCTATGATAGCAGTCTTCCAATATCTCAGGGGTTGCCACAAAGAAGAGGGAGTCAACCTGTTCTCCAAAGCACCTGAGGGCAGGACAAGAAGCAATGGGTGGAAACTAACCAAGGAGAGAAGCAACCTAGAACTAAGAAGAAATTTCTTGACAGTGAGAACAATCAATCAGTGGAACAACTTGCCTCCAGAAGTTGTAAATGCTCCAACACTGGAAATTTTAAAGATGTTGGATAATCATTTGCCTGAAGTGGTGTAGGGGGTTGGCAGGGGGTTAGACTAGAAGACCTCCAAGGTCCCTTCCAATTCTGTTATTCTATATTCTATTCTATCCATTTCCCTCTTCCTCTAACTGCATGGACATGTTGACATTTATTGTCCCAATAAGATATATGGATTTTATAATGGTTCTGAAATAACTGGAGTTCTTGATGCTCTCTAAGCTTGGTGGTTTTCTTGCAGAAGTTTCATTACTCAACTAGGTAACATCATCATTGTTGGTGAGTGTGGGATTTGCTCCCAGGGATGCTGCTGCTGCTACCTAGTTGGGTCATGAAACTTTTGCGAGGAAACCACCAAGCTCAGAGAGCTCCAAGGACTCCACAGCTCAACCCATGAGCTACGTAGATTCTCTTCTATTTGTTCTGGAGTAAGCTCCCATCTTCTGCCAAATTTGATTTCATCCGTGTGGGCAGCTCAAGAAACATTAGACTTTTTTTCCTTGACTTTGAAGGAAGGTTAATTTTGAGCAGAAGTCAGTTCCAAATGAAAGGTTGGGATTTGCTAATGGTGCATTTGAAGTTCTCCACTGGTGAGAACGTCAAGGGGTGAGATCGAGCCTTGTTGGGAATGATGGCACCTTCCAGTGCCATCATTACACTCTGGAATAAATAAAGCTCATTCAAAGGAAATTAATTTGGGTGTACAGCAATTCTGGGAAGGTAGAAGGAACTATCTGACCAACACAGAATGATCTTTCCATGTTTCTTATAAGGGAGAACCTGGTCTTGAAGGAGACAGTGGCTTAGCGGGACCAGATGGACTCAAGGTATCTTGTTTTTCTTCCCTTCTTTTGATTGGTTTAGAACCTGATCCTGTTTCTCTGACTCTCACTTCCCCAAGGTCTTCTCCTGTAGGATGAATCCAGGGGTGGGATTCAGAAATTTTAGCAACCAGTTCTCTGCCTGGTTGCTGGGTGGGTGTGGCCATGGTGGGTGGGGCCTACTCAGCCTCCTGCATTACAGGAGGGGGTGTTTTTGCCCTCCCCAGACTCCGGAGGCTTTCCTTGAGCCTCCGGGAGGCCGAAAATGGCCTCCTCTGGGCTCCGGAAGCTTTCCAGAGGCCGAAAATGGGCCGTTTTCAGACTTCCGGTACTTCTGGTAGGCCGGTTTTTCTTCCTTCCCAGGCGCCGGAGGCTTTTCCTCAAGCTTCTGGGAGGGCGAAAACGGTCTCCCCGGGCTCCGGAGGCCCTCCGGAGGCCGGAAACGGTCTGTTTCCAGACTCCTGGAACTTCCAGGAGGTCTGTTTTTCACCCTCCCAGAGCCTCTGCATGGATCTGCACTTACCTGGCATCCAAAATGGGTTGCGTGGAGGCTTCTGGGAGGGATGGGGCCAGCCAGTCCTTGCAAGTACCAGTTCAGTGAACCAGATGTAAAATTAACATCTGGTTCTCCTGAACCGGTCTGAACCGACTGAATCCCATCCCTGGATGTCAGACTTCTCTATTTTGGCCATTTGAATCCTTCTTACATTTCTACACACACGTAGAAGAGAACATGGTGAATTCAGAGGAAGAGAAAAAACAGTGGCTGTCATCCTTCTTCCTGAACAAAAGGAAAAGTGTGTTACCCATTTGTCTCTCTTTCAGGGTGACAAAGGACAACCAGGCCCAGAAGGGGAACGTGGAGACAAAGGGCAAGATGGGGTCCAAGGAAAAGAAGGCCCCCCTGGTGTTCCTGGAACCCCGGGTGTCCGAGTAAGTGTGAAAATTTGGTTGATGTTTCTTCTGTCTTGTTGGACTCATGTTGACTGTTGGTGGAGATGCCATGCTGTGTTAGACAAATTCCTTGTGCATCCAATCACACTTGGCCAATAAAGAACCTTCTCTTCTCTTCTCTTCTCTTCTCTTCTCTTCTCTTCTCTTCTCTTCCCTTCCCTTCCCTTCCCTTCCCTTCCCTTCCCTTCCCTCCCCTTCCATCCCATTCCATCCCATTCCCATCTTCTATTCTACTCTATTCCATTTTCCATTTCATTCCATTCCATTACTCTACTCTACTCTACTCTACTCTACTCTACTCTACTCTACTCTTACTCATGCCTCTGGGTTTTTTGTGAGCTTTGCAAAGGGAGATCATGCTAGAATGGCTTGTTTTTGATCCCCAGGGTCAGGTTGAAGATGAACTCTGAGGCCATCTTTGCCTGCAAGACAGAGGTTGTGTGAAATACAACTCACATCAGCCTATGTTACAAGAGAGGTTATTCATAGATTGAACCCAAATGCCAGAAGGTAGATTTATCCTCTCCCCATCTCCAATTGACTTGAGGATTTTTTAAAAAAATTAAACTGATCTCTACTGAAATCTCCCATGGTTTCCTCAGACTTTTTTTTAATCTGTGGTTGATCTACTGATCTAAACCAGGGTGTCAGGGTTCCAATGGATGCCCTAATTAAATCACGAGCCTCGAGCCAAGCTTCAAAAGAAATCCAGTTATTTATTAAGAGTTCCCAAGTGAGGCCAACTCTGACCCTACATAATTTATGCTCCAATTATGACCCTGTTTCCCCCCTCCCCCCAGGGTATGTCATCAATCACATTCACCAATGGAGCAATTTCATGGGTTGGAGAGGTCACTCCCCTCTGGCTGCTGTAGGTAACCCTGGGATACAGCCTTGAAAGAGATAAGCGTGGAATGTGCATCTGTCTTTGGCTGCTGTGCAGTTTCCTTGGTTTTCCATCTCCCTTGGCCTGTGGCAACTTGAGAGCAGGTCAAGGATGGTTTGCGAGTTGACAGAGGGTTCTCGAAAGTGGATAATATCAATCCTATTTGAGACTTTCCAAGGGGTTGATAAATATTCCAGGGTCAAAAGGGGTTCAGTAAACATCAGGGGGCCAATAAGTAATTGATAAATGATGGAAGCTTGATTGATTGGGTTCAATTCATCTTTTGGGGTTTCTTTAGAACTTCACACCAATCCCTAATTTTGAAGGCTGGCAGGGAGACGGTGTTACCTAAGGATAGATGGTCAGCCAGTGGCTTTGAGTGGTCATCATTAGTACCATGTTTCCCCCAAAATAAAACCGGATCTTATATTAATTTTTGCTCCAAAAGACGCATTATGACTTTTTTTCCCGGTTAGGTCTTATTTTGGGGAAAATACAATACTAAACACCTCCGTCTGCTAGCGATCTTAACTGGGGCTTATTTTGGGGGGGGGGGTAGGGCTTATATTACGAGCATCCTGAAAAATCATGCTAGGGCTTATTTTCTGGTTGGGTCTTATTTGGGGGGAAATATGGTACTAAATGCATCCATCAGGCTGACAATCTTAACTGGGGCTTATTTTGGGGGGGTAGGGCTTATATTACGAGCATCCTGAAAAATCATGCTAGGACTTATTTTCCAGTTGGGTCTTATTTTCGGGGAAACAGGGTAGTAGCACCAATAGTTTGTTTGTTTGTTTGTTTGTTTGTTTGTTTGTTTGTTTGTTTGTTTATTTATTTATTTATTTATTTATTTGATTTATATACCGCCTACTCCCAAAGGACTCAGGGCGGTGAACAGCCAAACAGTAAAAATACATAGATACAAAATTTAAAAACAAAGTAAAATCGAATTAAACAATTTGGCCCAAACAAATTAAAACACCCCAATCATTTAAAAACTGATTAAAATTTGCATAATTAAAATTGTTTAAAAAGAGGGAGAAAGTTAGGCCAGGCCCGCCTGGTGGAATAAAAAGGTCTTAAGAGCGCGGCGGAAAGTGCACAGATCCGGGATCCTCCGTATCTCCGGGGGGAGCTCGTTCCAGATAGTGGGTGCCCCCACAGAGAAGGCCCTCCCCCTGGGGGCTGCCAGTCGACACTGCTTGGCTGATGGCACCCAGAGGAGCCCCTCTCTATGAGAGTGTACCGGCCGGTGGGAGGCTATTGGTGGTAGTAGACGGTCCCATAGATACGGGATACCCGTTAAAGTATTTATTAAATTATTTTCATATAATAAATATTTGGGGGTCTATGAACAATCTAAAACTTCATGAAGGGTGGGGGGGTGATGAGCTAGAGAATTTGGGGACCCCTGACCTACCCTTTAAGATTACACTAAATTTTCCCAAACTCTGCAGCTTGCAAAAAATGGAGTTTTTCCTCTCCCAAAGAGTACCTTTGCGTTTCTGACTCAATGCTGTCTTCTCGCCTTGTAAGCCGATAACCCTGAAGTTCCCGTAAAATATGCGTTTAATCAGATCTGGATGCAGCTCTTTAGAATTCTAATCTGGATAGATGGGGAAACTCTGGGTAGATTTGGTGCTAAAAAAAAAATGCTTCGAACCACAGGTTTCCCCCATTTTCCCTGAAAGCCCAGACAAGGAACGCTTCAAAACATACGTGCATACCATTTGAAGTACGACTGAGTTATACAGCTCCTTATTCAAGAGCTTTTTGAATGGAGGCTGTGTCCTCTTTGCCAAATGGGCCGTGGCGTGCATTAATTTTATTTTTAAATGCAAAAAAAAAAAAAAGAAGAAGAAGAAGAAGAAGAAGAGAGGAGCCAATATAATTCAGCTGGCTCGTAATCGCTGTCCTTCGTTGTTATTTTTGGTGGGGTGACAGCGCGGCCTCCAATTTTAGGAGAGAATGCTGGAAAAAGCATCAGACTAGGTTGCAAATGTGCTAAACCAGGGATGTCAAATTCGATTTCATTGAGGGGCGCATTGGGGTTGTGTTTGACCTTGGGCACACGGCCCTCCTGAGCTCTGCTTTTGCTGGCAGAGACACCGTGGGACAGTCCTTTGCTATTTCCAGGGTGGCCCCGTGAGCCAGATCTAAGCACCCCAACTCAAGATCTTGCGTTTGATACTAAACAATAAGGACTCCCTCAAATGGGGTACGATTGTTGGTGCTTTGATGGAGATATCCATGTCGTTTTTTTAAAGCAAGAATATGGAAACCCCCTCAACCTTGTTTGTAACTTCTTGACGTTCTCCCAGGCAAGTACTCATCAAAAGTTGTCAGGCTGGCCACAACTTATACCTCTAAATTTATTTATTGAAAAGTTTTACAAAAAGGAACAAAAATTTTTTTTTCCCCTGTTCCCCCCACCCTTTCCCCCCCTTCATCCCACCCTCCCCCCCGACTTCCCAGAGCAAAATACAAGGTATTTCATTTAATCAAACATAAACTAAATTAATCTGCTTATCCTCAAAGTACTGCTTCCCCCCCTGAAACCTTAACTCCACTACAGATAACCAAATACTTCTAATACTAACAGACATTCATAAGCTATTTGATATTTTCTTGTCTGATACTTATTTTGAATATAATCATTCCATCTTCTCCATTCCGATACGTATCTTTCTTGCGTGTGGTCCTTCAAGTACGCCGAGATTTTCGCCATTTCTGCTAGGTTTGTTACTTTCAATATCCACTCTTCAATAGTAGGCAAAGAGTCCTTCTTCCAATATTGAGCTACCAGCAGCCTAGCTGCTGATATTAAGTTCAAAATCAATTTAGTCTCTGAAACTGTACAGTCCGTAGTTATGCCCAATAGAAACAATTGAGGAGTAAATTTCAACCTTCTTTTCAAAATGTTCTGCATCACCCACCAAATTTTTATTCAAAATGCCTTGATTTTCTTACAAGTCCACCATATATGATAATAGGTTGCATCATTACATTCACATCTCCAACATTTAGCTTGCAAATTCGAGTACATACATGATAATTTCTTAGGGTCTAAGTGCCACCTATAAAACATTTTATAAATATTCTCTCTCAAATTTTGTTATACCTCTAAATTTAAACGCTCCTTGGCTCCATTTGTTGAGACAGGCATAGTTTTATTAGAGATCAAAAGTATTGCACTTTTGCATCGCCGGAACTGAGAATTGCAGGTCAAAATCCCTACGTTCAATTCTCCACCCACCCAACTGTCCCTTATTGCTCAATTGGACTTGATTGGTTACCCCACTGTAACCAATCAAGTCTATGCAAGATGTTTTCAGTCCAAGCACAGCTTGGTACGCGGCTCCCTCCTTCTTCCACCCGAATGACCTTGGGGCAGCATCTCAAGGTGGTTCAGTCTCTACTTTCGATTCCCCGAGCATCTCCCTCTTCATCCTCCCCCTCCTCACAGTTCATGGCAGTCTGTCAACTGCTATAAGAGCGAAACACAGCAAGTATGATTTGACAGCTGACAGGAAGCCTTCTCCCTCCCAAACTTGGCTCCTGGGAATTTCATGTGCCCATGTGTGTAGCTTTCTTGGCAGCCAAACTGGTTTACCACAGTCTTCTTCAAGAATATTTTTGAACTTTTGACTCTATCAACAATCTTGGGATGTCCTGGACATATGCATAGATAGTCCTTGACTTGCGACTATAATTGAGCCTCAAATTCTGTTGCTAAGTGAGACATTTGTCAAGTGAGTTTTGCTCCATTATACGACCTTTCCTGCTACATTCCTTAAGTGAATCACTGCAGGTGTTAAATTAGTAATATGGTTGCCCCAAAGATGCCTTTTCAAGAGGCTGAGCTGGACTTCAGCTCAGAGCTGAAGAAGCTTCTTGGATGAGAAGCGAAACGCCTTCAAAGAAAAACCAGAAAGTCCAGCTGGCTCTTGAAAAAGCACCTTTGGGACAACCATGACCTGGGATGACTGAGAATCTCCATAGATATTTAGTAACATGGTTGTTAAGTGAATCCGGCTTCCCCCATGGACTTTGCTTGTGAGAAGGTCGCAAAAGGGGATTGCATGACCCC